CAATACAAATAAAACCTTAAAAAACTGCAAGTGGCTGCTGCCTCTCCCTGTCATCTGGACTGAGGGAGAGCCCAGCAGCTCCAGTGGCTCTGCCCACCCTGAGCTAAGGGAGGCTTTGGGGGCAGGAGGATCAGGCACGGGGGCTACCGGAGCCACAGGGACGGCACCATGAGCTCCGTCCTGGGAGCAAGGGAAGCTGCTGGGTGCAGGTGGCCCATGGCCTGGTCATGCAGGGGGAGGGAGCAGGTGCGGGCAAACCTGGCCTCGATGCCCACGAGGTGCCGTGGTGGCACCCCCAGGTACACAGGAAGGAAAGGGTGGGGCTCCAGGCCGGTGGTCCCTCTACATCGCCTCCCTGCACCCACCATCTCCCCAGAGGGGACCATGCAGGCACACAAGTAGTGTCATAAAACACATTTTTTAAAAAATTGGCCTAAATCATAGATTTCTAATCCCACAGCTGGGTGGTGAAATATGTGACCCTGATAGGCTAGACTTTAGGTTGCGACTGTGGCTGCCTCGGCCACGGCGGCCTCTCCAGTATTACGCCAACGCCCGAAGCATCCCGGGTTCCTCTGAGCACAGGATGCGCTCTCCCTTCGTTACTGTTGTTTTTTATTTATTTCTTTTTTTTTGTTACAAAGATGATACATGCATACAATAAATCTGAACATTATAGGAGACTATGAGGTGAAAAGTCAAAGTTATCCCCTAGGTAACCAATCATCACTAAGCAGTTTGATGGGCCTGCTCTGTACCTGTAATACCACCCAACACACTGACGAATCCTGCAGACAGCACCCTGTCAGACACCCCTTTACAAAGTCCCCTGATACCTCTGCACATCCTCGCGGACATGGCCTGCCCTCTGCTGCGAGGTGCCTGAGCAGGGATAGACCGTAACCCACTTCACCGGCTCCTGGCAGACATGCGTTCAGATGCTGGTGTGTGTTCAGGTGTGCAGGGAACGTCTTACACCTAGAGCTGCTGGGCAAGGGTTCTCCTGGCTGAAGACTCAAGGAATCCTCCATTCTCTCTCCAACTTGAGGGTGGAGGACACTTCATTATATTTACCAGAGATTCTAGAAGGAGCCAAACATCCCCACCTCTCTGAATACAGAGAAGCAGAGGCAATGTTAAATCTAAAGTCTTTTCCAAAGACAGCCGACAACTTCATCTGGAGAAATTTCTTTTCCTCTAGTTTAGTGGCTTGGGGGCCTGGGGCTGCCGAAACACGGAAAGCAGCACCTGCCGAGGCGGCTCCTGGTCGCTCTGCCTCTGCTGTCAGAGGGTCCGGGCACCAGCTGGCAGCCGGCAGCCCCTGCGGCCCTGCGACCACACGCTGCACGGGCAGACAGACTAACGCTTCCAACCGCGTGTCCAACCTTTGAAACGACATCTGCCTTGCCCCAAAACTTCCTAGCTTGTTAGTACAATGTATTATAATACATTTTAATGTTTAATTTTGGGTATAAAAATCTAGTTAAGTGATCCGTGTAATAAAATAGGAAACTGTGCCACATTCCGCAGAATCAAACATAGCATCGCGTTCTGCTAACCACCTGCAGTTTTGTTACCGAGCAAACCAGGGCTTGGCCACCTGGTGCCTTATGCACAGGGCCCAGCAATTACTGTTGAAGGAAACAGGTTTTTATTAACAGGGCTCCAATCTTGGGGGTGCTGAGAGCACTCCTGCTCAGAGCCCTCTTCTCCCACAAGATGCAGAACTTCCCTTGCTCCCCAAAAGGCTACAAGCCAAAACCATGCCCAGAAGTTCCCCATACTCTTATCTGTCCATTACATTAGCTGGTCATGCAAACAGATTCCCATCCTTTTTGGAATGTGTACTTGTGGGTTTCAGAGTTGCCATTTTTGCACAGCAGCTTTTCTCTTTGGGATTTGGGGTGCACTGTTCTTAGCCTTCATGTAGTGGTTCAGGAAAGCATGTGCCATGCTGCGCTGGATCACGGTGCAGTCCCAGGGGCACACGTCCCAGAGAGTGACTTCTCTGCACATCTTCCAGAGAAGCAGAAGTCTGCAACTCAGCATTCCGGCTCGCAGTTCGGCTTCAAGCATTGTCCATGAGTCTGGGTGGCTAGGCGGGCCCCCGCAGCCCCATCAGCTCTGTCGCCGCCTTCTCCAGGCAGACTTCCTCTCTCACTGCTGATCTCGTCATGGTTCTCTCTCCTCCTAACCTGCAGCCCACCCTCACTTAAAGGTCTGCCCATAGCTTTCTGTTGAAATATTATATCCCACCCGTCCTATGCTACGTTAGTGTTTGCCAATTTTGTCAGTTCCCCAGTGTCTTTTGCCCTTTTTTGGCTGCCATGTTTAGTCAGGACAGGAGTTCCCACGAACACAGGGGCATCCAGGGTGGGTATCCGACCCTTGCCTCTCACACAGGTGCTGTATGAGCTCTCCCCCACCCCAACCCCCACATCAGGAGTCACCGCACATTCTCAGAGTCATGTACTGGGCGGCAGCTCTCTTCCCTTCAGGAAGGCACGGCTATTAACTTGCCCTTTGTTGTGCAACTTATCTTAACCGCTGCACCATTCACTCTCCCCGCCTTCACCCCTGCTGCACATCCTGCCTGAAGGCAGGACTGCCAGGGGCTGCTCCCCTGCTTTCAGGGGACCCATGCTTTGCACCCCGTCACAGTTCGGTCCCTCACCATGGCAGAGGAAGAGCGGTCTTGTCAATTAAACAGTCATTATGAATGCTGACACAATATCACAGTCATGTTGCTAATTTTCAAAGAGCAAGCTTCAATAAACTATGTTCAAGCTTCAATAAACTAAGTTCAAGACTAAAGTACACTGAAAATAATTTAATAGAAGCCAAGTCAGTTATAAAATACCAGGGATTTAAAAAAATGCTTTCCTTGCATATATTTATTTTGCATCTATTTCTTGAAACTCAGCTGTTTGCTCCTTTTTCTTTTTAATTCAGCCATGGTCTGGTCCAAGTGGGAGAAAGAAGCAAAGATTCTCTGTTCTCCTTTCTTGACTGTCTTGAGGGCCAACCCAACTGCACTGACTCCGGGGGACCAGGTTTAAGTTCAGGGGAGATAAGAGGATTTTCCAAGAAGGACATTCAAGCTGTGAGTACAGCACGACCTTGTCCTTGATTACAGAGAGAGCTTATGGCAGCTGCCAAAAATAGATGTCAAAGTCACACCCAGACCGCCACAGGCCTGAACCAGTCCCCAGGAGAAGATCACTGAAACCCTCCGTATCTACTTTCCCTCCTCAGTGCATTCTGCCTTTGAGTGTTGGAAGGCCAGACAACCACGATGCTAGTAGACCCGGCCTGCAGCATTCCCCTAACCACGGTCCCAGCAGAAGAGCACCATCATGCCAACATTCCACTGTGCACAGGAAGAGAGAGATCCCCCGTAGCCCCTGAGCTGGCCTCGCCTCTCTGAGGCCCCTAGTTATGCTTCTCCTGTGGACATTCATCTTTGCAGACAACCTAATTAATGGCTCTGCCAGAACATCTAAAGGCTAAATGGTGCCGGGACAGGCAGGACAGGTGCAGGGGTGCTGTCTCAGGGGTGGGTGCTGCTGCTGCTGCTGCAGGGGTGGGGTGCACAGATTTAAAACGCACCCGTGAGTATTGCTACATGAGTGGGGTAGAGCTGGGATTCAAGCCTGTGTAGTCTAACTCCAAAACTGATGCTCTTCAGCCCACGGAGGTAGTGTCTGCCTGTGAAAAAGCAAGCACACATCCCACAGCCATGGAATACTGTGGGGGAGACCCTATGGGTAAGTTAATCAAGGGAACCCTTGAATCACATATTCAGGTGCAGCAGAGGCGAGTGGAGTCCAGTGGTCCTCACCTCTGCTCCACAGAGGCTCTGAACCTCACCCCACAGACTGTGCTTTATCAGTCCCCACCTCAGCCACACCCTCTAGCTTGAGCTGGGTTATTTCTGTGAGGAGCAATTAGGAACCGGTTTCCCTGTGTTTCAAAGGAAAACAGGTCTGACCAGCTTTTCAGGACGCCAATATATTGTCAGATCATTGCTGCACTGATTCATCGTTTGATGCAATTAAAGTGGAATGGTGCTCTCCCTTCCACTTCTTAAAGTCAGACAGGCACCATTAGCACCAGGGATCAGAGCCTGGTCCTTGTCTGGCTTCTCTTCGAGGCTCAGGAATCCTCTCTTCCATCCAGGAAGTGAATCTGCTCTTTCTCTTGTACCCTTTCACCGAACGCCTTGGTTTGAGTGGTGACTAATCAGGAGAGCAACCACTGGTTCCTGAGAAGCCACTCCTGTCACAGAAGTCTGTGCAGGAGAGAATTCTGGGTGTGGGTGTATGGAGGGTAAGTTTAGCTTGCATGGACATTGTTTGCTAGCGTTTTGCTGACTTGGGACCGCAAGAGGCCTTCATGTGTAAAAGTGAAATCCCTTGAGTAAACCTTATCTGAGTGACTGACTGTTCACGGCACAGCAGTGCTCCTAGAGGTGGCGGTGCCTGCAGAGGGCTCAGGCAGCTGGACGGGTGGCAGGTGAGGTGTGCACAAGACCAGGAGTTCTGTGACTTCGTACATGTGACTCTGCCTCCGAGACCTCCTTCGGGAGAGGTCTGTAACAGCGTGGCCTTCAGTTCCAACACCGACTTTTATCCCATTTCACCTGCTCTGAAATTGGGGTGTTGCTTGCCTAGAATTGTGGTCATCCAGCGGCTACTCTGGCTTTGACACCCTACTTCATTGTTCCTTAAGTCTGCATTTCCTGGCTCACAGCAGAGCTCGGTCATCTCTTCTTAACTTCGTTGGCCATTCGAGTTTCCTACTTTGTAAAACGCCTGTTTTCTTTTTCACAAAAGTCTGGCTCCAAGTGGAATAGAAATAAGGATCTAATTTCATCTTATTTCAGATAGTCAACTGTCACCAAATAATAGTTCAAATAATCTTTTTTTTCTCCATTAATCCCACATAGATCCTAATAGATTAACAGATCAGTAGATGAACTGATGTCTGGCCCCTTTTCTATGTGTGCATCAGTAAGCTAATAGCACACGATTTTAATCACCACAGCATTGTAGTAAATCTCCAGGATTCTTCTCTCAAGCCTTCTTGGCTTGGCTTTGCTCTCAAGTCGTCCTTATAATTACAGGACACACGGCTGCCTCTCTGCATGTGGACAGCTGCAATGACAAGGATAATTCCTTTTTCTTCCCTCACAGTCCTGACATTTTTTTTTGATGTTTTCTTTCATTTTTGAAATCAAGACCTGATGGCACTACAGTTTACTCTGACAGAGCCTAATAATGACAGGACACGACATTTCAGGAACAATCTGGAGTTCTGCTTTTTTACTTTTCCAGGTACGCACTTATCACCTGCTAGTAATCTATTGTGAATTTTAAAGGAAACCTCAACTAAAATTGGAGTTGGGGAGGCCTGTAGAGAGAGCTATCACACCCTACCACATGAGGTCAACCACCCCAAACTGGAAGACCTCAACTGCAGACCTCAACTCTTTACCACTTTAATACCCAGCAGGAGGAAGGAAGGTTTTCCTTCTACCCAGCAACAAGCCTAGACAATGGAAACGTCACAGCTCGGCCAATGAGAAGCCATCATCACCTGAATGCTTACCTTCCTTTAATGGACTTTCATTTTTTCCTTGCTGATGATTTCTTTGTCCTGCCTTTCTTCCTATAAAAGCCTTCCATCCTGTATAACCACTCATAGTATCTACTTATTAGCTGAGTTGTTGCTTGATTAATTAATCATTTAATAAAGCCAACTATGTCTTCAAATTTACGCAGCTAAATTTGCTTTACTAACCGTGGAGGAGAGACTGTTCCATCATGACCGCTCTCTGTCCCTCACGCTGGACTCAGGCCAGAACGGAGGCTGCTTTCTGCAAACCGTCTTTAGAGGCCGTCTGATCACAATCGACATTCACCCTGATATAAATCAGTTCCCCTCCCTTGCCTCCTACCAAGTGCTGGCCCCTGGAACAGGCTGCTGCCCAGACCTGGTCAAGCATGTAAAGTAACTTCCTGTGCCTGGAGGCATTCCCGTACCAGCACCCGAGACCACTCCCCTTTCCACCCTGTGGAATTCTCTGCCACCTGCCGAGGGGCACAGGGACCCATTTTGTCTTGCAGCCGCCGAAGACATGACTCAAACATAAGTTTCTCTTAATAAACTATCAATTGCCAGCCTCTTTCTTAGGTCTTTCCTTGCCCTCCACTTAGGGGGGTAAATTTTTAGTCTTGGGGCATTTTGCGGAGTCTGTGCATGTGAACATGAACACTACGCCGTTTACCTATTTATTATGGGTTGGATTGTGGTTGCAGCTGCTCACTGTTTGACCTCTTTCCTGCAACAGGCACTTCACAAGGCAGGACCTTCTGTGTCTGGTTCACTGATGTTTCCCACACCCCCAGAACTGAACCGATCATGGATATAAACAGTCGTTGCAATTAGTCTGAGGACATAACTGAAACAAACGGTAGACGTGATACAGAGCTCTGTCAATATTTCATCTGGAAAGTTTTGACTCCCTCTTCCTCGTAATTTCCCCATCGCTGCTGTTCGGGCCTTCACGTGGAAGCTGGGCCTGCTCACGTCCTCTCCACCTCTCGGCTCTCCCCTCACGCTCGAGACCTCTCCACCTTTCCTTTCCTCGTGGGCAGCTTTGTTCCCCTGGCCTCTGCATACCCACTCCTGAACCCTCATTAACAGCAGCACCAGAGCATGAGGAGCGCCCCCAGTCCCCTCTATCTTCCCAGATTCCCCTTTCTTTAACGGCACCGCTCAGAGTCACCTTCCATGCCAAGGTCTTAGTGTCACAGAGCCGTGGACGTGAACCTGGGTCTGCCGCAGACAGCTGTGGGACTCGGGCTTTAAGTGTCCTCTTCTGTGAAATCGATGTCATAGCTGGGCCTGTGTGGTCCGGTAGTTCTGAGGATTAAATGAGAATGTAGGCGCAGTGTAGCATGGGACCTGAATGTGCTGTAAGCACATGTCTTCAGCACGGAGCTTCCAGAGATGGGAGCCAGCTCCCCAGAGAGGTCCCTGGGCGCTGTCCTGGGGTGGGTCTAGCCTGACCCAGGCATGTGTGAGAGAGGGGAGGAGCACGAAGAAAATCAGAGTCAGACACAGAAAACACGAGCAACCCAGGGCTCCCTGCCGTGGGAGGCCTCCGACCTCCCCGTCCACCCGTCAGGAGGATTTCGCAACTGTGCTCGTCTTTCAGGACCAGCACGAGGCTCGCTGGGACTGATCTCCACCATCAAGTCCTGCCCCACTGAGACGGCTCTGCCACTTCTCCTCCTGAAGTGGTCCTACTCTGCAGCTCACAGTCCATGCCGTGCATCACCCAAGCCGGTGGATGTTTATTTAAAAATCACTTATTAATCAAAACAATAGTCATTAATAAACAGAAAGATAGAAAACTATGAAAACAATGACCCTCATCTTAATAACAGTAATAATAACAGCTGACAATTATTTCTGTCTTACCGCCATTCACAAACTCACTAACAGACACACACGTGTAGCCGAGGGAAGCTCTCACAGACTCCGCCGCGATCCCAGGACACACTAAGGCCCCGCAAGTCTCAACACGGACGGTACAGACTGAGGAGCAGGCGAGCTTGGCACACGGTCTCAGCCAGATTCCAGCTCTAAGATGCCAAAATAACCACTGGCTGCACTAGCTGGAGCCGATCATCTTAAACATTTTTCTTCTCTTTAACTTCATTACAAAAAGACTGTTAACCTCAACTCCCAAACAACTCAGTAATACTTTCAACAAATCTTGGCTGGTCAGCTGAATCACTTCGGTAACACTGGAAACCAGACAGTGAAGGGCAAACAGCGGGGATGTTCAACATACCAGGCAGTATCCTTCCGACAAGAGCGTCTAACAGCCAAAAGGATTCTTCTTCATTCTTTGTGATAAGAATCAGGTATCCCGCTATAAAATTCATTCCCTGGAATTAGAAAAATAAGAAACAGAAATTCACGTCGAGTTTTAAAACACCGTAAGATTCTGTAGTTGTTGGGCTGCTAACTACTAACTTTGCATTTCCCTAAAACTTCCGAAATTCTCGAATGACCTTTTAGTACCACTTTGGAGATACAAAGGCTCTGACATCTAGTAATGCGTTTAGTCAAGCCTACAAGAGAAGGAAGGACAATGATTGAAAGAAACTCTTCTGAATACTGCCTTAGAATACTAAAATCAAAGACTCTTCAACTAATGGTTACCTTATGATAAAATACAACTTTCAATTGTTTTTTTAAAAATTAATCTAATAGCGTGAGACTATATCAGAGGGGGAACTATACCAGTAACCACATTTCATGAAATCCACAAAGGAACGTGGTCCGACACCCACACACCCGGGGATGTTGAAAGAGATCCTTGTGATGGAGACTGTCGAGAAATTCACGCGAACACTTGCCAGAGGGCAGATGCGGCTACAACACCTGAAGGACGTGACTCTCATCTGACAGAGCCAGCTGGACACGGGAGAGCGCAGAGGGTGGGCGCTTATCAACAGTGAGTTAGGGTCACCTCTGGGTGACTAGGTTTCAAACAATTCCTATTTTCTTTTTGGCATGCTTATATTTTCTAAAACAAGTATGTATTTCCCTAATAGTAAGGGGGAAATCCAACTCTTGTCAACCAACAAGATAAATGGGGACACAGAAACACCACACAGGGAGAGCGCCGTGTGAAGAGGAAGGCAGAGACTGGGCGACGTGTCTAAAAGCCCAGGAACGCCCAGGAGTGCCGGAGACCACCGGGCGCTGGGGGACAGGCCTGGCACAGATTCCCTCACGGCCTGAGGAGGAACCAGCCCGGACGACACCTTCATCTCAGACTTCTGAACTCCAGAACTCAGAGACGGTTTCTGGTGGTCACGCTTCTCAGCTTATGGAGCTTTGTCATGGCAGCCCCGGGAAGCTAACACAATGTGTGTGTGTGTGTGTGTGTGTGCGCACGCACATACTCCAAAAGCCAACACACATTCCAAAAGCCAACATGGAGCGAAACATCAATTTGTTGTTCCACTTATTTATGCTCATGGGTTGATTCCTGTACGTGCCCTGACAGGAGACTGAAGTCCGACTCCTTCGTGTATTGGGACAACACTCTAACCAACTGAGCTACCTGGCCGGGGCCCCTAAAGCCAGTAGTTTTGACATCATGCTAATATTTAAAATTGTGTGGGGGGTTTTTGAAGCTATTTTTTTAATCCACAAGAACAGTAACTAGAATGGTCTTAGGACAATTTCTCAGCCATCCTGCTTCCCCATCTCCAAAGGGCGGAGTCCTTGTTCCAGGACATGTTAATGGCAGCCGTAAAAGCGAAGAATGACAGGAATTCCATATGGGAAAAATGGGCCCATCCCAGCTGCGTCTTCCTGAAGGCACTGCCTCCGGGTGACAGAGCAATGGGAACCTGATGAATTATTCAGGTGAATGTGAGTAGTGACTCTGATTTGTCTCTGCTGCTGGTCTTCTGTAAATGATCTGCCTCTCTTCTTGCCCCATTTCTCCCCTGTTCCTCTGTGGAGCCCAGAGCCTCGCCACACGCTGACCACACAGGAACGCAAATTCCCAGAGCACCCCTGCTGCACAGCCATTTGTTCAAACCTCCCTAAGGGCCCGGACGCTCTCAGTTCCCTGGCCTTTATGAGCATCTTCTGGAACCCATGACTGTTAGAGGCACACTTCCCACCACACGACAGGGTTTACTCACCTTCCTCTCAGGAAACCTTTGGCCAAGCCTCAGGCTCTGGCAGCATAAGAAGCATGCAGCCTCAGGGATGGGAAAGCTACTCTCTTCCCGTGACAGCCGTGGGCTCCTGCTTGCAGCTATGGCGACAAGCAGCATTCCCGGCAACAGGAAGCGGCAGCTCCTGCCAACACCCTGGCTGGCACATCTGGCGGCTTGGGCCTCACCAGCCTCCAGCAAGCTCAGAGCCTGAACCAGCCCATCTCAAAGGCAGTGCGGCTGTATCGCATGCGGCACCCACAGAGGGCACAGCCGCAGCTGCTCCTAACTCAGGCTCTTCTTGCGTTCCCCGTCATGAATAAGGGTGTCCCTCTGATACACTCCAGGCTGGGGCCGTTTCACGGAGAAACGAGAAATGACTCTCCCCCACCTCACAAGTGCTTCACACAGTGAATCCAAAACAAGGCAACAAGGTGGCAGGTGATGGGGCATACTGTTACCTTTAATTACAGGGAAGATCTGACTTCCAAAAACAACCTCAAAGGAACACCCCCCCCACACACACACAGCATGCACCGGGGCAATAAGGTGCTCTTCATTTACTTTTCGTCCTAGAAGATACAGCCCTGTGTTCACTTAAGTCACTCCTACCTGCTTCCCAACTTCCTGCCTTCACCCTCTCACTGCAGTCTGACACCGAAAGAAGTCATTAATTAGAAGTTTCACTACCTCTGTAACTGGCAAATATTTGAAGTCACAGTCCGTGTATGTGTTATAACAGGGAGTTCATGAACTACATTAATAAGGAATACTTAGTGTACACCTGGAGGTGTGTCCATTGTAAGTTTGTGGGGTGTCGATGGTGTTCACCTTCCTGGGGGCTTACCTGGCAGTACCCCACACCCCGGTTGTGGTGCCCATAGGCCAAGAGCACATTGTACAGGGTCTTCTGTAAACAGGGGTCTGCGCTCTTGCGGAATTTTACGTTGTCTGGGAAGGTCCTGTTCATATCTGCAGAGAAATTAATAGCAGAATTATTCAAAAGGCGGGAACGGAAGACGGTCTGCGATGCACCAAACCCCACCTGGTGAAGTGCTGGGCTCCGTCTCGGGTCCCAGGGCGGGCTCGGCCCTGGTTGTGGTTTGAGTCGCTCCCGGAGAGCCTGGCTGCCCTTCCTGGGCCGTGAGCACCTGCAGCCCTCACACCAAGATCCTGGCTGACGGCAGTCAGGAAGGAAGGAAAGGGTACTGCGAGGACCCCCGTCCTGCCCCAGCCACGCCAAGGGGACACCTGTGGGCCCGAACAGCAGTTCTCCCAGTGAGAGCAAAGTGAGCTTCTCCGGCTGAGCCCCGGGCCACTGAATGGCCCCCATTTTTTCCTCATTTGTCTCCACCCCACAAACCTGTCCTCACACTGCCACCCCAATTAGCTAAGTGGTGGCTAACTCCAGGACAACAGGTGACAGATGGCCGTTTTACACAAAATTCTAGAAATTTTCCCAAATTGAAGATTGAAAACATAAAGAAGCAGAACACACAGAGATCCCCTTTCAGAAATAAACAGATAAAATGGAAAACTAGCCCTGGCTGGTGTGGCTCAATGGATGGAGTGCCGGCCTTCAAACAAAAGGGTCGCTGGTTCAATTCCCAGTCAGGGCACATGCCTGGGTTGTGGGCCAGGTCCCCAGGAGGGGGCGCTTGAGAGGCAACCACACAGTGATGTTTCTGTTCCTCTCTTTCTCCTTCCCTTCCCCTCTAAAAGTAAATTTAAAAAATCTTAAAAGAAAAAAAAACGTGAAAACTGAGAACAAAATTAACTCAGCACTGTCAACCTCTGTCTACAAGAGAGTTTCCCAGCCAACCTCTTCCTGTTCGTCAGACCCCCATTTCCTCAGCCCAGGCCCCCCAGCCTGGCCCAGCAGGTCCCACCAGGGTCCCGTGCAGGGACACAGGTGCTGGTGGAGATCACCAAGACAACACCTGACATTTTTTTTTAATCCTCACCCAAAGGGCATGCTTATTGATCTTAGAGACAGGGGAAGGGAGGGAGAGAAGGAAGGGGAGAAATATGAATTGGTCGTCTCTTGTACACACCCCGACCGGGGACTGAACCCACAACCTAGGCATGTGTTCTGACCAAGATTCAAACCTGTGACCTTTCAGGCTACGGGATGATGCTCCAACCAACTGAGCCACACTGGCCAGGGCCAACGCCTGGCTCTTTAAAGCTGAGTTTCACACATTAATTCTGCCACAGGTGCAAGAACAGAGAGGATGTACGTCAGCTTAAACCATCACATCTTTTCTAACTCTCCTGACCCCACTCAGGTCAGCAGTGTGCTTGCCACTGTGCTACGTCTGACAACCAGAACAACCCGGGACACACACAGCCTGAAGGTCTCGATGCGGAACCTGCATGGCCGCCAGCTTTCTCTGCCACGGCCTCCACAGGCACGGCAGCTCCCCCTGCACCTGAGGAAATGCAGCCTCTGCATCGGCCTGAGGCCCCCAGACTTGCAGTGAGCGCTGCAGTGCCCGTCAGGTCCCCAGGCCCTGCCCCAGGCCTTGTCTCTGCGTCTGAAAAACCAGGTCTGCACAGAACGGCGTGTTTAGTGTCCCAAAGCACATTATTTTTTATGTGTGTTTTCTACAAAATGCGTTGTTTTTTAAATGCCTCCCATAGCATGTCTCATTCTCTGTTCCTGCCCCCCTCAGCCATGCCTCTCAGAGTCCGGACGGCCTGGAGGACCACAGTGTCGCTGTGGCGTCACAGTGACAGTGTCACAGTGAGGGGCAGCTGTGCTGTCACCCGTGACACAGCGGTCTCACCCCCAAGCAGGACAAGAGGTGGGAGGCACAGGGTTCCTCTGTTGTAGTGACCACGGCTACGTTTATTTTTTCTTTTTAAAAAAACTATATTTCAGTGTCGCAGGTTCGATTCCCAGTCAGGGTACATGCCTGGGTTGCAGGCCATGACCCCCAGCAACCACACATTGATGTTTCTGTGTGTGTGTGTCTCTCTCCCTCTCTCTCTCTCTCTCTCTCTCCCTTTCTCTCTCCCTTCCCTAAAAATAAATAAAATCTTTTAAAAAATTAAAAAATTAAAAATATAAACTGTATTTCAATGTATTTTATATTATTTTTTATCAGTATGTTACATTTGTTATAATTAATGACTTAATTAATACAGCACTGTTATTAACAAAAGTCCTTAATTTATTTAGATTTTTCAAAAATTCCTACAAAAATTTTTTTCTGGAATTCTAAGCATTCCAAACTGCAACTGATCAGGAGAAAATGAGTGTTTTTTACTTAATTCAGAGTAGAATGACCAGCTGTGCTCATTCCTATGTAATATTTTTTTATTATGAAAAGTTTTTCCATATGTTTTAAAATCTTTCCATAGGAAATGCTGCCTTGCATTGTGGACGTAGATGTGAACAGGGATATTCAGTCTGCGCTTACGGGGCACGAAACGTCCAGCCCCACCAACCCCGTGAAATGATCTGTCCAGGTTCCTCAAAAAAACAGACACGGAATGACCCTGGGGTCCAGCTATTCCACTTGCAGGAATACGCCCAAAACCGAAAGCAGGGTCTCCCAAAGGTGTTTGTCCACCCATGTTCCGGGCAGCATCATTCACAACAGCCAGAAGGTAGATGCAGCCCCAGTGCCCACCGGCGGATGAGCAGCGAAACACAATGGCGTGGACGCACTGTGAAACACCACTCTGCCCGCCTCACACAGGAAACGCTGCCACGTGCGGCCACACACGTGAACCTTGAGGACATTAGGCTCAGTGAACTCAACCCGCTACAGAAAGACAGACACTCTATGATCCCCCTTCTATGAGGCGCTCAGAGTCATTAAAGTCCTAGAGACGGAAAGAAGAATGGTGGCCACCAGGGACGGGGGAGGGGGGTACACGGGGCGCAAGGGTACAACGGACAGGAAGTTAGTGTTTAATGGGGACAGAGTTTCAGTCGGGGAAGACAGAACAGTAAATTTTATATTATGTATATTTTACCACAATAATGAAAATATTTACCTGAAAACGTTGGCACTAAACAGAGCCTCTAAATTTATTTTTCAAACAAGGAGCAACATTCTATTTTATTTAATATGTTCAGCCTCCCTTGGACCTGAAGTCTCTTCCCAACCTAAACAAGCATTTCCAGCCCTGCTGAGTGACGGCCCCCCCGCTGTGCCTGCAAAGCCAGCAGCAGCTTCTGTGCTGAGACCTTTGACCCTGGTTTGCTGTGCAATCAGGTTGCAGCCAAAGGGTTCAGCACCCCAAGCTCTGCCCAGTGGTTCCAGCCCTTGGGCATATGAGATCCCAAAGATTGAAGGACCCCCATTTATTATGTTGGAGACACACCTCTCTCACTGTCACAAGTCAGTCCAGCCTCTCAGCAGTTTGAAGTAATTGATTTTTAAAATTTTTTTAAAAGATTCCATTTATAGCCCTGGCTGGCGTAGCTCAGTGGATTGAGCGCGGGCTGGGAACCAAAGTGTCCCAGGTTCGATTCCCAGCCAGGGTACATGCTTGGGTTGCAGGCCATAACCCCCAGCAACCGCACATTGATGTTTCTCTCTCTCTCTATTTCCCTCCCTTCCCTCTCTAAAAATAAATAAATAAATAAAAGATTTAAACAAAAAAAAGATTCCATTTATTTATTTTTTGGAGAGAGGAAGGGAGGGAGCAAGAGAGGAAAAGAAACATCTATTGGGTGCCTTGCACATGCCTGCAATTGAGGACCTGGCCTGCAACCCAGGCATGTGCCCTGACTGGGAATCGAACTGGCAACCTCTCTGTCCACAGGATGACACCCAACCCACTGAGCCACACTAGCCAGGGCAAATTTACTCAATTTTTAAAATTAGCGATTTTGTTTAAATTTGTATTTCTCAAAAACTGTTAAAATCAGGAAGGCAGATGTATTTCCTTAAAATATAATTATTCATTTTAGGTTAAACATTTTTTTTCTTGAGCCCTTTAAACTTTTAAGAGACAGGGAGCCTGGGTAAATATTGAGAAAACTACAGGGAGAAAGATTAGAGGCCGAAAATATCAGCATCCCTAGACAATTATTAGAGCTTGACACGAAGAAAGAAAACTCCGGTGTGTGGCTTTGTGATGCTCGTGCAGCTGTACCTGTAAGCCCCGTGTGCGCCCGTCAGGCTCACACCCCTTCCAGCAAACACCCCACCGTGTTAGGGCTGCTGAGCCAGCTGCTGAGCCAGCAGCCTTCTCACTTTCCTTGAGGGCTTGCTCTTGAAAGGAATCTGGTCTTTCTGTTACCATGGTCCTCACTAGCTAGTAGGTGCTCAAAAATTTGCTGAATAAATTAAAGACAACGTTCTCTCCTCATGAACACTGAAGTTTTGATTTTCCCTTAAGAAAAATATAGTTTCAAATTGAAATCGGTCAGTGCATCTTTCACAACACCCATTTCTTCATCAGCATCACGACTTCAAAGAGTGGATGCAGACCCAATTTGGAAGGTAGTTTCCACCCTTCCCCCTCCTCCTGCCCGGGCCACCCGGTGCCCAAGGGATGGACACCCTGTGTCACCTGTCCTGATGGCCTCCTCCAGGCTGTGGTTCCTCTCTCCCTGGAGAAGTCTGTGGTAGTAGCCGGGGTTCCTCTCCATCCGGGCCTGGGCTCCACTCACCCCCATCCAGACGCGGGCCCGGTGCTCGAGTGGAACGCCTTTCCGGATGTAGCGCTTCACTGGAACAGAGAGGAAGGGCAGCTTCAGAAGGACAGAGCCAATGGCATGAATTCCAGTGCCTTTAGCTCACCACTTCTCTCCTTACATCAAACATTAAGAGGATGCAAAGCTCGAGCTGGTTGGGTGGCTCAGTTGGTTGGAGCATCATCCTTCATACCAAAAGGTTTTGGGTTTGATCCCCGGCTTGGGCATGTAAGGGAGGCAACCGATTGATGTTTTTCTCTCACTCCTCTCACATCTGTGTGTGTGTGTGTGTGTGTATGTGTGTGTGTATCTATCTCTCTCCCTCCCTCCCTTTCCCTGTAAAGTCAATAAACATATCCTCAAAGATGCAAAACTTCACACATCTCTACCAAAACTGGTATATACGTTCATCATAGAATTCAGCTCTTCCGCCCAAACTGACCACAATGAGGCAAGAGGCTACAATAACCCAATGCCAGGGGCTTCAAGGTCCATCCTCTGGTCCTTTCATGCCGCCCCCCACACAAACTGTGACAGATGCTGCAGATATGAAGACAGGTTAGCCACAGGTCCAGCCTCAGGTCCTTGCTCAGGGGCGACCAGGACCAGGAATAGTCACTGTGACCCAGGCCCTGCACACACACCCAGGCATTTGCCCTGGCTGGTGTGGCTCAGTAGATTGAACACCAGACTGTGAACCAAAGGGTCATTGGTTCGATTCCCAGCCAGGGCACATGCCTGGGTTGCAGGCCAGGTCCCCAGTGTGGGGAGCACAAGAGGCAACCACATGTTGATTTTTGTCTCCTTCTCTTTCTCCCTCCCTTCCCCTCTGTCTATAAATAAATAAATAAATAAATAAATAAAATCTTAAAAAAATAATCTTAATTTAACCCCTCAAACAGTTCATTTTCAAAGTAAATATTCACAGGTTTGTTTTGCTTTGATATTATAAATATTATTATTTTTAAAAAAGCCACACTTTGGGGGGAAAAAAAGCTATGCAATTAGTTAAATTCTACAAACAGCCATAGAAAGAAAAAGATCTGAGGCACCAATTGCATTTAACAGAAAACAATTATGGGGAAAACAGTCTAGGTTACAGTCAGGAAAAGCACTGTTGATAAAAACTTAAACTCCAAGGCGACCCACACAGGATCACCCATACATGAGCACCTTAAAGTGGAAACTCCAGGAGGCCAAGCCTCCTGCACCTGCCCAGGAGGGGACAACTAAAAGTTGGCAGAAGGATGCAGGGATGACAAGGGAAGATCCAGAAGAGGGAAAGAACATCTCCGAAATAATCCACCTAAAGACCAAGACCATTTCAGAAACCCTCTTTGCCAATGTGAACGCACATTGGAGGACCAAGCCTCGGCAAGAACGTCTCCACACTCAGTCTGTTTATACTGCCACGGAAACGTGAAAAGCACAAGCTTTGTTCTACTTTTAAGCCTATCAAAGACACTAGTAATTCAGTCTGACTTTCCCCCAACTTAGTGCGATTTGTGCTGAAGGCTGGCAGCAGGTCTCATGAGCCCGTGGGGGCAATGTGATCAGAGATACCCGAAAGAGCTGTGGGTCGTTCTCTGCTGACCAGCAAGGGGCAGGGGCAGTCCAGACGCGGGTGGGGACGGTTCTAACTTAGATGGTGGCAAAAAGAAAAGACATGTGCAGATCAATGGTAGTTCTGCACACTAATTAATAACAAGCAACTGAAACCAAAATATTGAAAACAGTATCATTCACAATAGTACCGAAACTAGAAAGAGAAATTCTCAGGTAAAAACCTAACAAAATACCTGTCAGATCTGAGTGCTGAACGCTGCAAAAGGAGTCAGAGCAGATACAACAAGAGGAGAGAGACACCACATATATCCTGCCCATGGATCAGAAGACTCAGTATTGTCGAGATGTCAGTTCTCCCCAAATTGATCTATAAATTCAATACAATGCTTATTAATTTTCCAGGAGAGATATTGAGTTGATCATGACAAGCTGATTCTAAAATTTATGTGGAGACCTGGCTGTCATGACTCAGTTGGTTGAGCATCGCCCTGCAAAGTCAAAGGTCACTGATTCGATTCCCGTTCAGCGCACATGCCTGGGTTCTGGGCCAGGTCCCCAGTTGGGCGCATGCAAGAGACAATTGATCGATGTTTCTCCCCCTCTCTTTCTCCCTCCCTTCTCCGCTCTCTAAAAATAAATAAATAAAATCTTTAAAATTTATGTGGAAAGACAAAGGAACTGGAAAAAAAAAACAAAATAATTTTGAAATGAAATTGAAGGAGTCCCACCATCTGATTTTAAAGCTCACTATGGACTTTCAATAATCAAGACTATGGTATTGGTGAAAGGTTGTACATATCGATCAATGGAATATTAAAAAATTTTTCAGAAACAGATCCACACAAATAGAATCAATTGCTTTTTGACGAAGTTGCAAAGAAACTTCAATGCAAATAGAATAGTCTTTTCAACAAAGAATGGCCAAAAGAAAAAATACCAACAATATTAAGTGCTGTCAGAATGTGACCCAGCAGGAACTCTCATTCACTGATGGTGAAGTGCAAAATTGTGTGGCTCCTTTGGAGAGACAGTTTGCAACCTCTTAAAAATGAAGCATACAGGTACCATATGACCCAGGGTTCTCTCTCCTGTGTATTTCCCTAAGAGAAGTGAAAGCTTAAGTTTAAGCAAGAACCCATAGACGAATATTTATAAGTTCTCTTTACACATCCCAAATGTCCTTTGATGGACAATAAAAATAAATTATAGAACACCACAAATGAAATAGTCCACAGCAATAAAGAGTGAACTATATTGATACACCTAAATCATGAACACATCTCAAATGCATTACATTAGTTGAAAGAAGCTAGACTCAGGAGGGGACTCTAAGGGGCATGAATGGTAATAGAAAAAACACAATAACAAAATAAATTTTAAAAAAGAAAGCAGCCGCCCTGGCTGGTGTAGCTCAGTGGATTGAGCGCGAGCTGTGAACCAAAGTGTCGCAGGTTCGATTCCCAGTCAGGTCACATGCCTAGGTTGCAGGCCACAGCCCCCAGAAACCGCACATTGATGTTTCTCTTTCTCCCTCCCTTCCCTCTCTAAAAATAAATAAATAAAATCTTTAAAAAAAAGAAAGCAGCTAGACTTCCAACGGCTACCAGATGTATGATCCCATTTATAGGACGACGTTTGATGGCTGAACCGTGGGAATGAGGAGACCAGTGGTGGCGCGGGGGCGGGGACGGAATTCTGAAGGAGAAGGACCACTTTGAATCTGCTTGCGGTGCGGTTATGTGACCCTGCGGGTTTGTCTAAACTCACAGAACTGTATAGCCATAAGAGTGAATTTCACTATAAATTAAAAAAATTTAAACTGTAAGGTGAAAGGAGGGAAAGTGCGGAAGAGTTAAATCCCTCACGATGGAGACAGACCTCGGCTCTGCGGTGCCTTCCCAGCCCCAGACCTTGAACGGGTCTCAGTTTCTTCGTCTATGAAGCAGAAATAAAGCCCTCGGCCTCCTGACATGCCAGAAACACAGGCCAAGCTCAGCGAATCTTAGCTGTTGTAACAGCGGTGACCATACCCAGAAGTTGAAGAACAAAGGCTTTTGCTACTTTGTGATGTTCGTTATCTGAATTTACAATGTTTCTTCAGAAAAGAATGCGAATGGCTTACTCGGCCTCAGAGACTGCCACTCCCAAGGGCAGGGCTCACCCACAGGTCAGCCCTGACATCTGCAGAAGACTAAAATACAAAGGAAAAATGGTGGGGCGATATTTTTTTCAATGCTGGACCCTAGAGAATTAACCTCCAACTGTCTTCCCCAACTAAGTTAAGCAAATCTTCAGGTTTTTTGGCATCTGTCTTTGAAAAGATGCTTCTGTAATTTATTTCTAATTCAGGTGGTGCTGATTTTCTAAGCCACAAGGAAGAAGATCTAGGAGAAACAAATGGCTATGAGGCTTTTTCCTCTGTGGAGTCCCTTCACACCAAGACGGGAAATGAACAGGAATAAGGGCAGGAGGTCGGCCAAGGTAGGGCAGTTTGTTGAACTTGGTCTTCGAGGTCAAGGGAGGAAGAGCAAGCTATCTTAAGGGCTCCTGTTGGATATTTGCTACAAAGAAAAATGAAAACACTCATCATATCCACAAATAGCAAAATCAAGCAGCACAAGTTATCTGAACATATGCTGAATGTCCAGATTTGTAGATGCTTGTGTTACTGGAGACGTTACGAGGGACAATACAGATGAAAACCCTACCAAAAGAGAAAAAAACACAGTAGAATCGAAAAAATCAAGATAAGGTGAAAAAAAAAAAACAGGATCAAAAGGAGATTTCAAGATGAGCTTGCTGATATCCAAGCACAGGGTCCCAAGGCTGAGCTCCTAGGACTATACCTGTCCATGCTGTGGGACCCCTTACTGTGTTACTTCTTCCCTGGGATGTCACACACCTGGCACACTACAGTCAGCCTAGACCACACAGCAGGAAAAAACTGGGCCCCCATTTCTGGAGTAACTTGGCCGGTCATGTTTATGCCTGACAGCCGCTCTCTGACTGGCTCCCTGGCCGCCACACCCGGAAACTACACCGAGCTCCCGCGGTGACACCCTGGATCGCAGAACCCTGGGAAGCCACACCGCACGCTCTCGGTGAGCTGTTTCCTCATTTCCTGAAACAACATCAGGCCGACAGACTCTCCCGTTCACCTTGACACTGAACCCATCCCCCAGGCTGAAGGCTCACCAGGAATCACATACATTTGCTCCTAAACCTGTTATCCAATGACACTTGCTCCACAATCACACAGTTTAACTAACATCACATAAATCAAAGAAATATTAAAGCCAGAAAGAAAGAACTGTTACTTCAACAAAAGCCAAGCTACATTTTCAGAAAGAGCTGAAAGAGACAGTGCTCCAAGCAGAAGGAAAGCCAGTACAGAACCTTTGAACCAGGGGGAGACAGCTGCAACATGGCGGGAGAACACACATTTGGGGCGAGTCTGTATTCAGACTGTTTTTATTCCTGCTCCTGACTTGGGGGAAAACTCAATACTGGAAAATACAGACAATGAATTGAAAGTGGGGTGTCTGCAGGGGTGACACAACATTTAAATTAGTGGACCCACCTAGTCAAGGGAAAGGAGAGGGAAAGAGAGAATCGAATGACAAAACCAGAGATGACAAGATGAGCCTGCTTTTGTGCTTTATATAAAAACAAACAAAAAAAATGCACCTATGTGCGTCCTGTAGGGATTCTCTGCTTTTACCTTAAGGACAGTCACCAGTGGTCACCTCTCCAGGGGCTGGGGCCTGGGGCAGGAGGGAAACTCAATGTCACTTTACATCTTTTAGTACGATTAAGACATTTTACTATGTACATCAATTGTTTATTTTAAGTACCTGTATATAACTTTTTAAACCAAAAAGACACTTCAACTTTTAAGAAGCAATCAAAAGGAAAAATTAAAGGCAGATGTGCTGCTGGAAACACGTTAACACAGGGCCACGCCTCAGGGACAGACCTCAGTGAACGGCCCATGTAGAGGGCACACAGGGCACCAGCCTCCAAGGTCTGTAAGGCCACAAAGGACCAGCCTGCAAGGTCCCTTCCAGCTGGCTTTATGAAACGCTAGTCTGCAGCCCCATCAGTGATGCCTTGAGAAGGGAGGGCTGTCCCCTGTCCTGGGACAGCTCCCTGACCCCTGCCCTGCCAGACAGCAAGTTTCCAGATCCACCTGCCTGCACCCAGCCCTCTCGCTCGACCCCACAAGTGTTTCTCAAGCACCTACTGTGTGCTGGGACCACTCTGGGCCCTATTCATAAACAACTTTAAAAGCAAAAATTGATCTCTCCACACCCTTGCTTATAAGTCCTTGTCCATGTGACACGTGCCTTCACAGGGTCCCATGCAGGGGGCCCTGGCTCCATCTCCGGCCCCTTCTAAGCACATCTCTAAGACTCTGGTCACACAGCTCTGTCCTTCGCAGCCGGCCCCACCCTCACCCCTTAGTTGTCATTAATGTCCTCTTTCAGGAAACCCCTCTGTGCCATTTACCTGCATTCCCTTAACTCCCACCAAGGGGCACAGTCCCACCAAAGCCCTTCCACCACCCCAGCAGCTGCCGGCTAAACACTTCACTCATTCAACAACTACTGAAGCAGTGATGCTGGCCAGTCCCTGCCAGCAGAGAGGGAGCTTTGATGCCGGCAGGGAAACAAATGATGAAATAAATAAGATCTGCACTGTGTCAGGCAGAGAGGAAAAAATAAGTGGGAAAGGGGTAAAAGTTGTGTGGGTGTGCAGCGTGACAGGGGCTTGCCCTTCCAGACAGGAGCTCGGGAAGGCCTCCTGGAGGCGGCATTCCAGTCAACACCTGAGAAAGACGAGGCACAAGGCACGGGTAGGGGGCTGGGGTGGGTGGGGAGGGGAAGGAGAGTCAGGTGCAAGCCAGGGGTGTGCTGGAGGCACGGAGAGGAGGCCTGAGGGAGGGGGTGCCAGGCGAGAGTGAGGAAGGGAAGGGGCTGGGGCAGGGGAGCCGGGGAGGAAGGGTCCAGTAGGGGAAGGAGCCAGGGCTTTGTCACTGGCCTGAGCAAGGGGAGAGCCCTGGGCCATCTCATTTTGAGATTTTTGAGAAGCAGAAAATCCATTTTCTTCTGGGCCCTATTCATAAACAACTATTCAAAGCACACAGGCCCATCTCAAAGAAAAGAAAGGACATCCCTGTACCTTAAAAGTGCAGGTTCTAGCTGAATTCATCGCCTTGACGTCAACTTGGAGCCCACGTAGGACACGACACACACGCACCTGCCTTGGAACTTCACCATCTGGGGACCCCGAGGAAGGGTGCCAGACCCAAGGCAGCCTGTGCGGGCTTAGGGGCCTAGGGAACCCAGAACCGCGTCCTCTCAGGAGTATTTCTTAGCCAGTGACCTGTTTGTTAAGTGCATGGTGGACCAAGCTCCAAACTCACCTGTCATACTTTTCTGGATACTATTACTTCCCTTCAGAAGTTTAGACCATTTTATCGCTCTTCTAGTGAGTATCACCAGATAGGTGGAAAAAAATTCTTCATAAGCTGCATAATCAAAATCTTCAGGCCTTTCAAACCCATATGGGTCAACCCTACAATATAAAAAGAGAAACCCTGTAGCTCCAGAATAAAGTTCCACACGCAGGTGCGACCTGTGGCACTGAGTGGCCAGATCCTGCCCGCGGCCTGTCCCCGGGGTCCTGCGGGTACCGGTCTGGAGCGACTGGGGCCGGTCTGCAGCCGAGACCGACCCGAGGGGCGCGCGCCCTGCACCCTCCGCGAGCGCAGAAAGGGACTGCTAACCGAGAGCGGAGGGGGCGCACCCCTGCCCAGGGACGCGCAAGCGCCCGCACACCCACCACCGCACGGTCCTACTTCCCGCACCCCCAAATCTCTCACCGTCCCATCCCCGCATCTCCGAATTCCACACCACCACCCCGCACGCCCAGGCTGGGCGAGGGGCGTCCCGGCCCCAGCGCGCCCACCTGGGGACCCGGTCCCGCGCCGCCTGCCCGCGCTCCGCAGACTCCATGCGGAGAAGGGGGATGGCTGCTCGGAGCTGCCCAGACCTCGGCGAGGTGGCGGTGCCAAGTCCGCCTCCCGGGACTCCGGGCAGCTAGAGCCCTTCCAGTGCCGCGGGCTCCAGGAGGCGGTGCTGCGAGGTGGGGGTGGAGGGAGGGGGGGAGGCGCTGGGGTGGGGGAGGGGCGGTGCTGGGGGCGGGATTGGGACAGAGGGAGGGGGTAGGGAGGGGGAAGGGCGGCGCTGGAAAGGGGGGAAAGGGGAGGGAGGCAGTGCTTGGGAGTGGGGACGGGAGAGTGCGTGGTGTTGGAATCCAGCAGGGCCCCGGGGGGAGGGAGGGAGGAGCGGGCGAGTGGGGCCTGCACCTGCTCCCGCTGCTCCTCCCGAGGGCGTAGTTGGAGTCTGCTGGAACCCGGCAGGCTGGGAGCGGTGGTAGCCCTGCCCACTACTCCCTCCCGAGTCCTGAAGGGAGGAGGCACTGGGAGCTGGGGAACTGGGGGATTTGATGCTGGGTGGGATTATGTTGGGTGGGAACGGGGGTGGTTGGGGACAAGGGGGACAGGATGGGCGGCGACATGGGGGACGTGATGGGGGGGACTCCGGGCAGGATGAGGGGGTACCCAGCGGCGGGTAGAGGGCAGACGCCTCCGGGGTACGCGATGAGGGGGATGGGGGGATGGGAACCCGGGCCCGGGGGGGCAGGAGAGGTGGCTGGACTGGCTGGCGGCGTGTCTGTCAATCTCCAGGCCTCTTAGGCCTTGAGTAAAGGCTGGAGGAGGTGAACCCAGTTTGGATTCTTCAAGGATTCTTCGGAGATTCCTTCAAACCTCAGTGACCAGTAGGTCCAAAGGCCAGAGTTCTAACTCATGACCCCTTTTTTATTTGCTTTATGCAGAAAAAGCAAGTCTTTTTTTTTTTTAATTTGCTCTCTTTCAGCCTATACAGTTCAGACCTGAGAACCTGTCCTGTCCCTCCCTGCATCCCCAAACCGGATTTGTGGAGGAGGGGGTCCCAGACCCTCCCGCCTCGGCACCCCTTCCAACCCCACCTGCAGGGAGCCGGGCCTCGGAAAATTGTCACTGCCAAGCGCCACGACGTCAGGAGAACTGGCTGGCTGTGTGGCTGTTACAGTGCAACAGACGAATGGCTGTGCCGCGCCCTGCAGGATTGCCACCTGGGGTGACCCGGTTAACAGCTCAAGCAACTGCACCAATCCCCGGACGGCAGAACGAGGGCTCCCTCCTCTGACTGCGGCTTCCCTGATGCTTGTGCCCAGAATCCTGGGAGCATGAGTCAACTCGCGGCGCTGTCCGCAAAAGAACAGCACTGTGATCGCACAGCTCCATCCGCCTGGTTCTGCTGAGGGAAAGCACCACCAAACAAAAGGCGCGTAGCGGCCGTTCTCCCTTGGTACTCCGGGGTGCCCGGCTTCTGTATTGTGCCTGCTTCGGCCCCTGCTCACCGGCACACTGAGACTTCACTATTGTGGCTGCAAACCGTGCCTGACCTGCTTAGCCCATTTGAGAGGTCATGGGAAGTTTGTTTTGAATTTTGCATCGGAGACGTGGTGAGATAAAAGGGGATTTAAGATAGTTTAATATTAGAGGTACTTTTGCAGCCTCAGTCCTCCCCATCCAAAGGGTTCTTTTGAAATGAATGGTCTCAGAACGGTAAGCCATCAGGCAAATCAGAAAGACGCCTCTGCAAAGTCACATGACCACCTTCCTGTGCCAGGGACCCCACTCCACCTCGGCCGGCCGGCCGGCCCACCTCTGAGGAGAGTCCTGGGATTCCAAATGCTCTTTCTCCAGGAAAGCACCCATAAGCCACTGCTCTGTGTGGTAGAAATGATGTTGCCAGCATTCCAGTCCTGGTCTGCCAGGGCTTTTGTGAACCAGGCTGGGTGCCTAACATTGGTTTTTCAGAAATGTTCTATCAGAGAGCGAAACAAGGAAGCTGGAAAGTAATTTGTGGAACACGCCTGCCCCCCAAACTGGGGACGTGGGTCTACTCATTTTCATGCCTCCCCAAACCCTGAAAGACTGTAGGAACTTTAGCGCCTGAGTCAGCGCAACCTGAACACCAGCTCTGCCAGCCTTCCGAGGGTGCACGCTCTGGGAACATTCTTCACGCTTTCAGCTCAGTTCACAGCGTTTTGCTTTTGAAAGACAGTGCCGCTTCTTTCAAGGACCCTGAATCCACGCTCTGACCTTCCTGACACACTCTCAACAATGGTCCTTTCTTCTGCAGGCCCAAGTGCGCACGCAGACAGGGCAACACATGGTTACACACTGTGTTACCTCTGCTGGGCCCTCCCAAGCAGAGCAAGCACAATAGAGACCTCCCCTGACCCCCTCAGACCCCGTCCTCTTGTTTTTGTCCTGATCTGTTCCTTAGAATGACTCTCCCAGCACTCCTCCCTCTCGGACCTCTCTCTGGGGTCTGAACCCCATTTCCTACTTCCTGTCGCTGTGTCTGCAAGCATGTCCCATGCTTCTCTTGCACTCAGCATCTCATGCCTCCAAACTGCTCTGCTACTTCCACCCTGCCTGGCAGTCCTGAGAGACACTTCTTGCTTCCTCAAGGTCCCTCTTTTCTGTAATTCCTCCCCTTCTCCTGAAGCATAGGAATCAGGGTTCCAGCCTCACTCCCCTCCTACCCACTTCTTCGAAAGAGCCTTGAAGAACAGCCGGGTCCTGCTGCTTCGGTGCCCCATGCCCCGACAGGAAACGCAGACCACGGGATCCATGCCTTAAATTTGAGTGTGATGGCAGCACCCGAGACCTAGTCTATTTTGGAGCCAGATAAAGCTAGAGTGTGAGCATTCTGTGTCGGGAGTTAGTTAGATAGGAGCTGGGCTGCCCTCCAGGAAGAGTGGAAGGGAAGATACAGAGAGAGAAAGGACCAATGTGGGGGGCCGGCAAGGATGGGCGGCAGCCAGAGGGCAGTGAAGCTAGAAAGGCCTCCAGGAGGTCCAACGGCTGCTAGAACCCCTCCCCCCAGCGCGCCCTCACACCCTTCCCAACACTTGTCCCAGCTCCCTGAGTGTCCTGGGCACCTTCCTGGTCAGGCTCCCTTTTGTCGGAGCTGACAGTTGTGACGATCCACGATGTACAGGTCATGTTGGAGCAAGGAAACCCAACTGTACACCCCACCCAGAAGTGATCGTGCAGCCTGTGCGGAGGGTGACCAGCCAGCTCCCAGTCTCCCCAGCACCTCTCTTCCTGGTGCTCTGGGTAAAGCTGTGTGGTGAACTCTGTTTTGCAGCACTAAATCCTCTGGGCAGCAGGGGGGCTGGTCAGTAGGCAGGGTGAGAATTGCTGCACAGAAGACCCAGCTCCTCTGGGGAGGACACACTGAGCTGGCCTGGGACCTCAAGGGCCACCAGCAGCCCAGTCTGGAGTCACCACCCAACAGATCTCCCTCTTTGTGCAGGAGTGCCGGTTCTCATTGCTCAATTACAAGAGCTGTTAGGGGTGTCCATCCCCGCAAGAATAACAGACTAAGTGACAGTCATAAGACTGCAGGTGATGGAGGGACAAAGGTGATACCTGAACCTGCTGGCCCATTGCAGATCAGTACAGCGGCTCACCAGATGCCGAGTGCTTCCCAGTGTGAGGCATGGGGCAGCCAGCGCTACGGGGGTCTCCTTGTGGTGTCCTTGGACCTGCAGCCCGCAGAGCTTCCGCACATGCTGTGGGGTCACAGGAGTCACAGGGAGCAGGGAAAATGTCTTACCCCAATGGCAGCAGTGCTGCGCAGATGCTGACTGGGGGACCCAGCTCCATGGGGACTCAGTGAGATGTGAACCCTGATGTGGCAGGGCGGGGAGGGGCGGGGGGCGCAGTCTGAGACTCTGCGTTTCTCACAGCTCCTGGTGCCGGCCCATGAGCCGTGGTCTGTCCAACATCGCAAGCCGGTGTTCACCAGACGGCTGGGTGGGGAGACTGTTACAGGTGAAAAGAGGTTTCAGAGAGGTGATGACGAGGTGTACCATGTGCCCAAAAACCAAGAGCGACGGTCCCGCTGGCAACTGGGAAGGAATTTAATATGGACTGAAGAGTAGGTAAGATTAAGAAATTATATATGAATGATATTGAGTGTTAATGATATTAAGGTGATATTGCTAAGCCCTGATTTGATATACAAGCATATGTTTGAGTGTGTGTTTGTATTTTTTCATGGAAACGATTGAACTTTCATGACCCCATGACCTAGGAAAATAGTAAAAGTTACAAAGCAGCCCCCTCCCCCCACTCTGTGTCCTGGAAAGCGGCCCACCGCAGGGAAGCCCGGCCCACGTGATCTAGATGGGACTCGGGTGCTCCCTGCTCACCCAGGACGCGCCAACACAGCCCTCATGCTCCCTTCTTTGTCCCGTCGGTGCTGACCTAGACGGCCTCCCCCCCCCCCCGCCCCGCCCCCGATCTGTCGGAACAATGTCCCTCCTCCCCTGCCACCCTCACCCGAGCCGGCAGAGGCTCCTCCTGAGAACAGGTGGCTTGTGGGGAACCTGCTGCGTCTGCTGTCTCAGCTCAGACTCCACCCTGGCTCTGTCGCACCTGGTTTACTCCTTTCCGTTACACACACGCACACACGCACACACAGCACCTCTTTAGGCGCAGCTCTTCAGACAGTTCTAGACCTATTTATTGGTCAGAGTTCTCACTATGGCAATAGTGCCCCACACCTTTGCAATCATCCTTTTGATTAAGGTACTAAGTCTGGATTTTGTTTCTGTTTGACAAATAAGAGTGTCTGTGGGTAAAATATGAAGTCTAGAGACAGATTTAAATACACTAGCAGGGAAAAAGAAGAGGGTAGATGGGAAAAGGCAAAATCATTCAAGATGGGCATTAAGTACATTAAGGGATTGTTGTGTCTTTGGAAATTCCATAATAATTTATTTAAAAGGTAAAGGAGGGATGCCCCCTCCTGGGGGGCAGAAGGGGACCACAGGCAGCTGGAGGTCCTTGGAGCAGACCCTCTTGCCTTGAGTCCAAGCCTTGACTTTGGCCCCCAGTCAAAGGAATTGGGGTGGGGGACAAAAAATGACCAAGGAGGGGACCTTATGAGGTTTTCAATGACCCCACAGAACGCCCACATCTTCCAGCGGCAGCTGGAC